AAAGTGGAGCGCGCGAATAAAACTGGAACGCCTTCAAACTCAAAACACTGTGGCGAGAGAGTAAATATTTAACGTTCTCTGTGTATTAAATTAGGAAATGCACAATCCCACCGAGACATGACCGGGCAGAATTGAACTGTGAGTAGCCTCTGTGTCCTGGCACTGACTGACCCAACTCATGTGAAGTGGAGTTGGTTTATTTTCAGTGGTTGCTATGCGAGACTTCAGGGCAACACTTAAAAAATATTAATAAAAAAAACACAGAGAAACAATAAATAATCATCAGCAAACAATTACACAGCAATTACACGGCAGTTTTGTATCAGCATGCAAAGGGCAATCAGCAACTCCAGCTATTACACTGCAATCACAGGATACTTTGGTGTTGCTTTAGATCCATGTACACTCTCCTTCCTTGCTCTTTAAAAATAAACTTCAATTAGAATCTTTGCTGCCCTCATCAGATCTGAGCAGATCTGCACAACATCCACAGAGTACAAATACTGAGTATTACTTGAGTTTAAACAATCAAACCTATGGGTTTCTGGGGGGTGGGACCTTGGTTCTCTGACACCTATAATTGATATCAACAAGTCAACCTCACCTGACCCTTGAAAACAGTTGAGGTATCTTGAAATGGCAGGACTGACGGGAAACTACAACTGTAACAATAGAAAGTCCACAGGAAGGAAATACAAAAACGTTTAGCCATAGTCGGGACGCAAACTGGTGACCTGCTTCCTTTCAGTCGACGGCACTGTTTGGTTGCAATTAGCAACAAGGGGATGCAACCAAGTGATGTTCTCAACCAGCTTTCTATGATTAAAAAAATGACAGATGTCCAGATAGAACAGTCAGCCTCCTACTGGTGACGATGGCACACTGCAGTTTAAAACAGTTATTCTATCTCAGTCAGGTGTAATCAGAATCGACCAATGGGAAAGCATCAAATAATAATAATAATAATCATATCCATATAGGTGTAGACACCGACTGTCAAATCAGTTCTCACACATATTTTCCAAGATAGTGATGGAGATCAGCACAGACAAACACAAACCGTGTGATGGAAACAGGTAACGTTAAAAAGGGAAACATAATAGAAGGGAAGCGCCAGAACTGTTACTGTTTTTGACTCTTCATTGTCTGTGACTCTGTTTGTCAAACATTCCATCTGATGCACAAACAGTCGAGCCGAGGCATCGTCATGTGCCACCATCACTTTAGGTATTTTATCACGCGACGCCAGGCTGCTGCTCTCAGGGCCACGGGGGCCGGGCTTTAAAGTTCTACATCAAACCAAAGGAGCGATCCGTCTTCGTGCTCGTCTTCGTCACTGTCGCTCTCTTTTACTATAAAGTCATTTACGACTGTTATCTCCTCCTGGCCGCTGTGCCGCCCTAATGATGAAACGACGCTTCAACATTCACTCCATGATCTCCGCTCTGTTGTGCGACACATTCCTAAACACAAACTGCACGTATCCTGCTGATCCCTGTTAAAAAGTTTTTTCCAGCCACAGCTGTGTTCCACAGTCCGAGTTGGGCTTCTTCAGCAGTGCTATTTAAAACTGCAGTAGACGCTGTGCTGTATCATCATAAAGACGGAAATGAGAGAATACTGTATATATATCCTGAGAAAACGGCA